TAGGCTTAGATTAAAGCAAGAACCCTCGACTACTATCCTGAGATACTGCGCCGACCTAAACGGGGTTAGATCGCCGAACACCCTAACGGCCTTGTCCCTGTGGACCAACCCCACAGAAGCGTTAGTAGAACTTGACGACAACGACTGAGATACCAACCGTCCTGGGCGGGGTTGTTGTAGCCGCTACAACAACAACAACAACTACTATCCTTGAAAATACCATTCCTGCACATTGAACTTATGGGCACTTATAGTCATTTATTGAGCAGTAAAATTTGACTTTTGGCGAAGTTTGAGTCCCTGCCGCAATTAAACAAAAGGTAATAGAACCTTCCACTTAAGCTTAAATTAAGGCTTGAACTTTCGACTACAATCCCTAAAAATGCCATCTCTTCGTCTTGACCCTAAGATCACTTATAGTCGTTTATTGAACAGCAAAAACTGATTTTGGCAGCCTTTTTTTTCAATAGCACAATTTGCCAGCATTTTTTTTACTGTTCAACAAATGACTATAGATGGCCATCAAGTAAAGGTGCAGGGATGGTATTTTCAGGGGCAGTAGCCTAGGGTTCTAGCTTTAAGTTAAGTCTAAGTGGACGGTTCTACCACATTTTTACTCTTTGCACGAGCTTCTCAAATATTAAAGAAAAACCCCGATTTTTTGACACTTTGACCACGATTTTCTCAAAATCTGTGCATGATGGAATCTTTATAATTACGGATTCGTAATCAGCTCAAAAAAGTCTATCAAAAACAGATTTAACATTTGCCCTTCATCCCCAATCAGATGGCATTGTGGAACGATTCAACCGATCGAAGCCTGGAAGACCATTTGCGGAAGGTCGTGGACAAGAATCAGAAAGACTGGGATGTCTGCATACCCTTGTTCCTGATGGGATGGGCAGTGAACTCCGTTTGCCTCCGTGACCTAAAGTTTGGAGTAAGTGGTGATGCAAGAAGAATTGGGAAAGAGACATCCAACATCCTGGAAGTGGAGCTGAGAGAGATAAATGCTCTTGTGAGACAGCGTAGTCAAACTATGAGTGACAAGATGACGGTCAGGTATGATAAGGCGATGAGCGCCGAGGGTTTCGAAGAGGGAGACTTTGTCCCCGAAACTACAATGAAA